GGTGTCTCCAGTGCAGTCAGAGACTCTTTGAACAGGAACATCCTGTTATTTGTGTTGTGTTAAACCACTTACAGGTGTAATGTGAGGTGAATGGTGCAGGTGCAAAGGTTTGTAACACAATGTTTACGTGTGTTTGAGGTTCGACTTGTCACTCATCAGTTAGTGGATTAGGTATATTCTGACTTACTGGCTTTCATTTGAATTTTGTGTTTACCAGAAAGGAAATTATTTAAAAATATATTTAATATAACAATCCTAAAGTGTACTGCCTGTGGATGGGTCAAGCATGAATCTTTTGAACCGTGCCAGATGCCTCACTTAAGAGACAATAAGACATTTATCTGTCCTTTCAGTAATGATCAGCATAAATTGTGTTGTGAATATAAAACTGTTTGAGGCAAAGGGTTTTAAAAATGCTTTCCATTTTGGTTGTATTTGTTTGTTTACCTTTACAATTTAGTTTTGTGCTAGTTGATAAAGAAAACATGGGTGCCATGTAGGTTTTTTGGGACAGAGACTCTGAGAAATGCTAGAAAGTCACTTTTTGCTTCATTTTGTTTTTGTAGGAGCCTAAACTCACAGCTGCAGCCCCTGGGAGTTTTGTCACCTAACACGGTCAGTGCCTGGTGAAAAAAATGTGTGAAAAAACCACATTCCACTTAAAAGGATTAACAAAAAAATGGACCAAAATACAATATATTATGTCAATTAATGAATAATTATGTCAATTAATGAATACCATCAATACCTACGTTAACATAGGCACAGGTAATCAGAATGACAACTCTATCAGTTAGAACTTCTTCATGTAAACATGTCATTTGGAATATTCTGATCCGATACGGCCCGAACAGAATTAAATTTTATTCCGACTGAGAGAGGTGGCTTTGTCCGATCAACATTCCGATTGACGTCCATGTACACACTCATTCAGATTGTTGGAATGAAATAATGCCCACTGCAAATGTGTGCAACTTCAGTGTGACGTCTTTAAAGATTAAGATTAAACTCCCATAGTTGTCACACACACTGTTGTGGTGGAAATTGTCCTCTGTATGTGACCCATCCTGTGGGGAGCAGTGAGCTGCAGACACAGCCGCATCCAGGAACTATTTGGTGGTTTAACCCCCAAATCCAACCCCTTAAACCTGAGTGTCAAGCAGGGATGTATTGGTTCCCATTTTTTATAAAGTCTTTGGTAAGACTGGAACGGGATTTGAACCCCGATCCCCCAGCCCCAGGGCGGACACTCTACCACTAGGCCACTTAGCTTTCCACCTTGGCAGATGCTGACGACAAGTCAAAAACATGGCGGGTGGTAAACAGAAGTGTGTGTGTGTGTGTGTGTGTGTGTGGGGGGGGGGGGGGGGCGTAAGTCAAAGGACAAAGCAAGTGAATAAGAAGATAAAATGGGAGGGGAAAGACATGTGTTTATATATATTTTCCAGGAAAGACAACTCTACGCATGCTCAACCTTTTTAATCTGATTGAATGCTCGGTGCATGTGTACTCACGGCATGATCAGATCATTTCAGTTAGTGTCCATGTAAACAGAGCTTTATGATTTCCCATCAATCAAGATTTGAATCGGATAGAGGAAATTTGGCACATGTAAACGTAGTTATAGTGTTTTTTGTATTTTACCACCTTCTTTTACCGCCTTCAGTCAAGGCGTGTGAGTTCAATTAGGAACGATGTGCACCATCACCTCACCGTTTTTGTACAAAATCCACTCCTTTGTCTCTCCACTGATGCCAAAAACATAATTTTCCATAAGCAATGCCTAAAAGTTACAACGCTCAATAAACTCAGAAACAAAACTTAAGAAACAGTACAAAAAGAAACAAAATATTCCATCTTGTTTAGTCTCTAATGACCTTACTGAGCGTGAAACATCTTTTATCATTAATCATCTGCTGCAATTAATCATGAACAGATGTGCTGTAAACTTTCACACTTTCAATTTCTCTTATTTTTCCCCCAGATTTCTTCATCACAGAAACTCACATTTCTAGACTTTTATTCGGGATTCTGTTCCTTCAGAGAATAAACCGATTGGGTGTGTAATTAGGCAGAGATGAAAAAAAAGGCACACTCAATATTAATTGTGCATTTCTTTTCCTGAACAGTGCATTAGTTAGACTAGAATTTGATGGGACTCTAGGTCCCTTTGGTTGAGCTCAAGGCATGCTAAAAGTTAAGAGACCTCGACCAGACGATTGGACATGCAGAACGCTGACGCTTTAATGCTGGCGAGCAACAGTCATTTATGGCTTCAGGATTTCTCAATAATGCATCAAAACCCACAAGCCTTCAGGGGCAGTGATTGGTAATCAAAAGGTTAGTTACGGTTTTCATAATAGGGGCCTATAAATAACCGGGGACAGGAATGAGGGCGTGTAAAATGTATATGGGATGATTCAAAACCCACGAGCTTGAAGCAAGAAGAAGGGCTGTGATGTTAGTAGGTGAGGTCATTCGGCCATGCGGTGAGAGTAAATTTGCACGTATATTTCAAGTACAGATCTTTACACAAATCTCTCTGGTTAAACCTATAAACCTAATTATTTTTCACAAATTAAAGCTCAGTCGTTTTTATGCTGCCGCCATAGGTTCCTTTAGTTTTAGAGCATAACATCCAGCCCCCAGAAAAGTCTTCTTCCAAGTTACATCTTCATCATCTTTATGTCGAAGAGAAATACTTCCATCCAGTTTAATTTACATACATATTAAAATGCTTTGTATATGCGCACAAGGCTGAAGTACAATCTCTCATTAATTCAACATTTATTCCAGTTTATTCTTGTTCAGCACAAACAGAACAATGTTCACACATACATTCAATTTAAAGTCACCAATTCACCAAATAAGCTCTATTGATTTGTTTAGTGGTTTTCTTGAAAGCAAACTTGAAATCCTAGAAACTGACCACAGAACTGCCAGCACAGGTGAAGAATCAACTCTGTAGCAACAGATTTCATTAAAGAATCGCAAATAAATAAACTCCATTTAAACATTTGGCTTTTGTTTCAGGAGAATAATTAACCACAACAGAAAACTGTACTCTTTTTATCTACAGCTTAGTAAAAATGAAAAAAATACCATTTATGCAATCATCTGCATTCCGTCTATGTATGGTGACGCGTTGGTGTTACAAGGCTCTTTACTCACTTTAAGCTCTCTTACAAATAAAAGAGGAATCTCTAATGATTTTTATCTGTAGACTCATTAGTGACAATAATGACTTTAGTCATATTCAGAAAGGAAACCATCAGAATTCTAATTTGAACATCAAAAACTTCATCTTAGCAAACTGAAAATCCCCAGCAGTTGTGTGTTCAAACTCAGCTCACACCCTTCAGCCATCCTAAAACTCTTATATGCAACACCGTGTGACCTCGGTAAGAAAAAACATTCACGGTAACTCATGTCACATGTCTGATGTGAAGGTTTTTGCACTCCAGACAGTAGAAGCTCTAGAAGAACTAAAGTCACAAACATTGCTAAGTGATATCAGTCCATTCACAAATGAAATGAAAGCTTTAAATTTTAGATTTAAAAAAAGAACAGTCAAGATTGTACTAGAGAATCTGTGAGAGGATGCTTTTTCAGCAAGTTTGGGTGGACTTGGCCTTAAAGAGGTATTTCACTTATACTGTTAATACATTTGCAGTGGTCTCTAGGAGGCATGGATGCCTTGCAAGTCGTACTCTGGGGAAAACACAGCTCAGATGAGCCTGTTCCAGCTAGAAGAGAGAAAGTAGCTTCAGACGAGTGATATTTGGACATCTCGCCGAGGATTGGCTAACCGCAATGTGACACTGCCATTGAATTTGTTTGCTCTGCAACGTTGATGTTTTATCTCCACAAATAACACAAGTCTGGAGGAGTTCTGCTGTGTCGTGTGTTTGCTAATGCTAACAGTTAGCTTCTACTATTCAAGATGTTCTCTGCTGTTTCCTGGACGTTGAACCAACAGTAGTCTTCCCCGTCGCGAGTCACGGTGGGTGAGTCCACGAATGTTAAAAAGATCTGTCAGAATTTTCTAATCCTGGCGTTTCACTGTTTGTTTTCTATCAGATGCTAATGCAGGAGATAGGTGTAGGAGACTATTGTCATGTTAACGTTAAAGTTCCAATAGTTATCACCATACACTGGTGAAATTACATCTCCACATTTGACCCAACCCCGTGGGGAGCGATGAGCTGAAGCGGCAACTGTGCTCCAGAACCATTTGGTGGTTTAAGTTAAGGTTTATGTCCAGGCGTGCATCACAGTGACCAATTCTAATCAGAAGTAATAGGTAAAAGTTGTCAGTGAAGGACCGCTGAAGATGAATGTATTATTTCATCTTTAGGATATTCAGGACAATAAATTGCTACAGAAGAAGGGTCCATGCCTAAGCTGGCGAGGACTGTTGTGATGACCAAAGATGGACCTGGTTGTTATTAATGATCTTTCCCTTTTAAGAATAGACTCTGATTTTACTTGATCAGCATTTACTTTTCTGCTCTCAGTCTGCTTCAGTTTTCTGGGCTCTGTGTGCTTAGTCTGCATGGTAATGCCCTGTGATTACCGCTAGCCCCACTCTAAGCCTCATCTATCTGCCTGCCCGCCTGTTAATCTGCCTGCCTGCCCCGCTTATTCTCCCACAATCTCCTGGCCTGGACTACAGATAGGCTCAGGTTACACTGCCTGGTATCCTGCTCATATACTCCGACGGGTCACAGCCACCCACTCCAATCCACTTACCAGCCACTGACCATTGATTTTATTTTTTTGCTCCATCCTGCATCCATCTAAACTCAGCGGCTCTAGAATATTTTATTAAACCTAATGAGTTTCATGCTTTGTACTTTCACTGATATTCTTTAAAGGGGTCAAATATGACACAAGTATTGAATAATGTTTGTCTGACACAAAGGAACAGAGGTGTTACACCTACTAATAATTATCTATTGTGAAGTCGTTTTTGTTTAGACATAAAAGTCTGAACTTACCATCAAACTTTTTATGCCCGGTGATGAACGTCGTTCTCATAATGTGGCTTTTCTCTTTGACCAAATCCTCAAACTCCACTTTGCTCTGCTGGTTGAGTTTGTCCTCCATCTCAGATGTGCAGCAGGTGTATCCCTGAGGACAGACACGAAGGTGCTCACCTGGACGAGACAAACACAGAACAGTGTTTTAACACTCAGTACTGGTGCAGGATTGGGATCTTTTTCTTTTCTTTTTTTTAAAGCACTGAGCTAAGTGTCTGATCAAAAATCTGTGATCTTTGGGGAACCACGAACAGCTGGCGGCTCTGACATGGGAGGTTTTGGCCGAAACACGTCAGTCAAAGGTAAAGAAACATCTAATTACTTCACTGTGTTAAAGAAAAAAGAAGATAACACAGAAAAGACAAATGGAGATGAGAAAAGGTGAAATTATGAAGAAACTTCCTAGAGATTCCAAAAGTTATTAGTATGAAAATACTTGAATTTTATCAGATTTTCAGAAGCTGTAAAATGAAGGGAAAAGGCTTCATTTTAAAGCTTAAATGTTTTACATTACAAAGACTTAAACTCAGATATTCTCTGACATTTTTAAGTCAGGACCGACTTAAAGCTACGATGGCAAATCTGCAAACCAAGCTAGATTATAAAATCTTTTCACACCTCTTAACAAATTTCTAAGATAGTAAAGCTACAAAAATATTGTTAAAAGTACAAAAATGTAATATTGAAGTGGTTCTCTCACTTCTGCATAAAAACCTCAGCCAATAACACGTCCCAGTCCAAAAGCTACTATTGGACTGTTCAGTTGTCAGTCTCACTGAACCACCGCTCTTCCACTTTCACTTGGGTCTTCCACTCATTACGCATAACGCGTGGATCACACCAGACGCGGAAGCGCGACGATGCGCCGCGGAACGAAGAGAGCTTCTATTCGGCGCTCTTGTTGGATGTTCAGTCACATTAGCTGCAAAGTGCCATGAAGGCTCGTGCCTTGCAGTGGTCGTTTTGCCGTGTGCTTTAATTTTTTTGTGAGCCATCAGTGAGCCACGTCAATCGTGGCAGGAAGTCAAATCAAACCAAAACAGAAGAGGCAAGCTAGTAAATTTACCAAAAAAAAGAAATGTTTCTAAATAAAACACCACGATTGATAAATGTGATCATTTTTGTGTATCTAAACAGACTAGAGAGATGAAAATTAGCAAAGACACACACACACACACTCCTGTGGAGAAATATATAGCGTTTCCATAATTTAAATGCAGTTTTTACAGCAAAAGATGGATTTATTAAATGTGAATACAAACAAATACATTTAATTCAAAGGTAAATATACAATAGCGTTGTACACTACCACAAACACTAGTTATTTACTTCACCATTTAGAACGGGACTGGTCTACAAAGCAGCAGCAGGATCAGCACAAATTCTGATATCAACAAATCGGGCAAACACACACACACACACACACAAGAAAATCGTGACTGGTGTTTAGCACCATCTTGCTTACTGCGGCAATGTGCGTTCCCATATCAGGGAGGCATGGCCAGGGGATAGTAGCTAACAGTTCTGTGTTTGAGTGGTACTTTGCAGTTTTGCTTGCTTTGAGCACCCCCAGATTCCGTTTAGTAGAACCAAAAGCAAAACATATCTCCTTGCTGTGTGTTTGTCTTTTTAACATCTTAATCTAACAGCTGAAATGTCTCCCCAGCCTTTATATGAATCTACAAGAGTTGTTCATCACTAAATAAAACAAATCAGCTGTGTTCATGATCTAAAACATGCAGCAAACGTAATGGGAGAAGCAGCTCAATTGTACACAGGTGGAGGCTTGTCAGGCTGAAGTTGCAAGTGTGATATTCTGGCCACAGGGGTTGGTGGCGGTCTGAGTGACTTCTCATTAATCATTATTAAAGGGTAATTTTAGCACATAATGACTCAAGAAAAATATGTTAAAATGTGAAAAGGTGGCATATACTATGTGCCTTTATGCTTGTTTCGCAGATTTGCCGTTGCTGCTTTAAACTTCAGAATTTCACATAATTTATTTTGGATTTCCGTCTCCCCTCGAAGGAATATTATTTACTTTTGTTTATTTTGTTTCATCTCCAGTTGCTTTAATATGTAATTGTTGTTTCCCCGTGTCACAGTCTAAGCAAACAATGAAACTGAATGAATAGAAATGTGAAAACATAAAAGTGAAACAATGAAAGACTTATTTGGCAGTGGTCAGGTCACATTTGGAACTAAGGAGTAACACATTTGTCTCTAGGAAGCAGAAGGACAGGACATGGCACAGTTCCAGCAACAACTTCAGCCACACAACATAAATAATGGCTGCATTAATTGATTTGTATCCACTCAGAGCCAGAACAACTACCTATAAATTAATGAATGCTATTTTATGGTGTGACAACAACAGCTTTTTCAGCCATCTACCTGACACCTGACAGTGTTCCTGTGAAGACATAGTTCTGCCCCCTCTACTTAGCTCTTCCTTCAATCCTTGTCACCCCTGATATTAAATATTTGGCTTTTAGCTACCAAAATGTTGGCCATGTTTGCCAGATTGTTGCAAATGGTGTTTGTTTGGTGTTGAGTGAGTTGTGCAGTGGATTTATCTGCGGTGATCAGCTCGGATGAGACTGGTTAGAGCCAAAATAACTGATTCCAACTGCTTGTTTTAAGGGATTCTTAAAATATTTTCTTCTATTCAAAGTCTTCTGAGATGAATAAAGTGAAATGGAACAAAACCCGAATTAGCAACGCTAAAAGAGAAAAACCGGAACCAAAAACTTCTAATAGTAACATTAAATAAAAAATAAATAGTTGTTGCATCTTTAAACTAGAAAAGTCAGTTTTTTTGACCATTTCTTCACTCAGAATTTAAGGGAAATAACTCGGAGAGGTACTGTTAAACACAAAATTACAGCTTTGCATTGTCCCTCTTTGTGTAGTCCAAAGTCTAATGCTGCCACACTTGAAAGTCACAATAAAACACTCGTTTGTGCTTATATATTAGAGTACAAACCTGAACCTAGAAAAGACCATGAGATCGCTGTAGAGATTATGCTGAAAATTTACATCACACTTCGTAAAGTTTTGGAAGAACAATCGGAAAGAAACCTCGCACAAATGAAACCGCTCTCATTATGACTTCTCACTCAGTTGTGTGTGTGTGTGTGTGTGTGTGTGTGTGTGTGTGTGTGTGTGTGTGTGTGTGTGTGTGTGTGTGTGGCGTGTTGAATGTGCAAAACTCTTGAAAAACATAAAGGAGAAAGATTCTGAACATTTCAACATTTTTCAGCTCTGAAATGACAAAAACAGGCTCAACATGTTATTACTGTAGCACTTTCTCGAGGTAGCAGCATCAAAGGGTGGTATTCAGGGCGTTTGGCATGTGTGGGTAAAAGGAAAATCTAGATTTGACACAGATTAGCCACTATATTCCAACAAAACAACCACACACACACACACACACACACACACACACACACACAGAGGGGGTGGGGGGGGTGGGGTTCTTATCTGAATGCTGAGCCTTTCTTAAAGGAGTAGTAACAGGTTGTATGGAGACCTTGCTGATATACAGATGCTACCAGTTTTACTAAATCTGTAAATCTATAACATTATTAGTAAAATTTAAGACCAAATAAGTAAGTAACAAAAAGATTTGGAAATTAGAAACACACACATAACCATTCATGTCAGTGCTTCATGATTTAAAAATGCTTTTCTCTTTATGGTGTCAGTTTGATGTGAATAATAATAAGTTAGAAGCTTAAATATTAGAAATGTGGATTACTCATTTATTTATTACATTTGAAGTGGTCTCTAGGAATCAGTGCCTTGTAAGTCTTACTCTGGGAAAACAAAGCTCCAGTGCACCAGTTTCAGTGAGCCAGATCAGAGTTGAGCTTCAGATGACAGGATCTGGAGTTCTATTTCCTGATATTTGGACACCTTGCCTCTGATTGGCTAACAGCAACATGACTCTACCACTGACTCTCTTTGCTTTGCAACGTTGATGTTTTATCTCTACTAATACAAGCGTGGAGGAGCTAGCTGCTAATGCTAACTGTTAGCTTCTACTAGCCGAGACATTTTCTGCGGTTTCCTGGATGCTAAACCAACAGCAGCCTTCCCCACCATGAGTAAAGATGGGTGAGTCCAAGAATGTTATATAAAAGTATGACGTAGATCTGTCAGGCTTTTCAAATCCTAGAGTTTCACCGTCTGATTTCTATCTGAAGCTAATGCAGGAGATACGTGAAGGAGGCTGTTTTCATATTTAGCCAACATGAAAAACTCAGAAATTATCATGAAAAATGGTTCTCCAGTGTTCCACACCTTTAAATTTTGTTTGTGTACAGATAAATCTAGGAATATCTACACTCTGACACTTTAGGTTCGGTTTTATCATTAGCCTGGTCTAGACTAACATTAAAAATCCACTTTAGTTTACAGCTGATCTATGAACATCCTGAGGAGCACAGGTTATTTAGATTTCTTTAAAGATACTGTATGAATACCTAAAATGAAAACAGGTAATAACAATGAATAAAGTAACTCTATTAACATGTTAAACGTTGACTACCCGTGGTCAGAAGATATACTTTCACTTGACTTGAAGTTGCTCCTAAATGAGGCACATGTGGAGGTTTTTTTGGAAAATCTCTAACCAATTCACAGATATGTATAAATATAGCAGTTCTATGTGAGTCACGATCTCAGCGTGTTGCACATCCTCTGCCACTGAGAACATCAGACATCATTAGAGATAAAAAAATATATATAAAAATAAAGGGTATGGCCAGCAGCCACATGAAAGATTTGAGTTTTTCCACTTCCACCTATTAGCATTTGAGAAAAGGAGATGAAATAGATGTCGCTGCACCAGTGGGGAATTAGTGTAGAGGGCACTGAAATGTTGAGACTTTTTCTTCTATTTTTTTTTTTATTGGGAATCCTTCCACAGAACTGGCAGGATGTCTGGTGTTTTGCATTCTTATACAGTAACTTACAGCTGAACAAGCTCTGTATGGATAATAAAACAAGAAAGCTGCAGGATCTACGTGATGGCACTCACAAATGTGCTTAATCCGTAATCAGTCCTGCGAGAGGCACCAAGCTGCAGTAATGAGGTGCACCATCAACAGTTC